TTTGAACTTCAGGTACTAGTGATGGTCAATATCAGATGAATCTTTCATGCTACTGAGAAGAAAAAACATACACTCACAGTTTTGTAACAAGGCCTTTTTTTCCCTGACAGATTTTTTTATTGTTTTGAGCAGGTCAAGCTGTGACTGCAATAAGTGGAAGGTTATGGGTTTCCTTCATATGAGGATAAATAATACACTGAATTAAAGCAATCACTATTTAGATTACAGCAGAAAGTTGTCTGTACCCTTTGTGCACTGTAGTAGTTTCTAAAGGAATCTGAATTACATACTAGAAAAAAATATATAGTGAATTGTGCAGTAAACAGTGGTATAATTTCTGTGTGACAAAAGGAAGAGGAACTACATGTTTCCATCTGAAAGAGAACTGTAACTTGATGAAGGACACTGAGACTCAATACTCTGAAGAAAACAATTCCTGCTGACTGAAATAGCAATATGCACAAAAGTACTTAGTGAATAAAGAAGAACTCCAGAAGAATGAACTGCCTTTTCATATGATTAACAACTGAACAAACATGAGAAAAAAAAATATAAAATTATTTAGGAAAATTAATTCTTTCTAAACTTAGGTATGTTAAATTGATGAGGTTTTCTACCTAGGTCTCTTGATGGAAACAGACCTAAATTTCAACCTTTCTGAACATAATTTAAAATGAGGTATAGTCGTTAATGGTCCCTTCTTGTGCTTGTGAAAATGAAGCTCCCTTTCAAGCTGATTTCACAAGAAATACTTTTCAGGAGCCTTTTTTCCATATTTAATAACCTGCTGATACACCACAGGAAAGTTCAAAAGCTTTCAAAGTGCTTCTTAATACAGCTGCACCAGCTTCAGTGGAATTCAGTGGCTCAATTTATTTTAAGTTATTTACTCTTATGTGAGAGGTATATTTAATATTTTACTCTTTTCTGTTTTTAATTACTGCAAGAATGGGAATGGGATGTAGTAACCCCTTGAGATGTTCTGCTAATGGATTAGAGCACGCATCCTCCAAGCACGTGTTCTGGGGTCTGCAAGGTGTGCTCTTCCATGTCCACAGGCAGCTCATGTCAGATTATTCCAGGTTTTAAGGCTGCTCACCTAGATCTAGCTGAAGCAATGATGACATCACTGCGCCTGCTTGCTCACCACTGTCCATCACTGGGAGTTACTGGCACCACAGCGCTACCAGTGGGAAGGATCACTTGAGTTTTTCCTTTTCCTTTCAGGCAAACCCACTTGGTTCAGCTGAAATCAGTCTTGACTGGATATTTAAATGAATCCATCTGGCTTTGCTGGAAGTGCATTAGGCGTAAACCCTCCAGCCAGCTGAGAGGTGGAGCAGGGATCTCCAGCAAAGGACTGGTAATTCATCGACTTGTACAGCTGTCTGAAGTGAGTGTGAGTGTTCCCAGCAGGGTTTTGTGTGGAAAACTGTGAGTTCGGGGGAAGGATGAACATTAAAAGCATGTTACTTCTAAGGAGCAAATGCTATGTTTTTGTGCAAGTGTCCTTCTCAATTAAATCAATGACGCAATTTATAGACAAAGTGACTTCTATGTAATGGCTTGTTTATTGAAAAAGATTCTGCTTGGTATTAGGAGCTCATTAAACGTAACTGCTGAAGGAAAAGACATTGATTTAGGCTTCCATGAGTAATGGTGTACTATCCATTTCCTGTCCTCTCAAGTTCTGTATGTACTTTTTTTGGTCTGTTTTTTCATAGCAGACATCATTTAGCAAAATATTTAATTTCATACCTAAAGCTTTCCTTCATCAGGCAAATACATGGCCTGATTTCAGCAAAAACACTTGCTACCACTTAATCAGACATAAGCACATACTTAAGAGTACTCTATTTGACATACCTAATTTTCTTGATCACAAAAATTCTCTGAATTTCTGTACATTTCAAATCCAACAGGACAGTTGAAGAGATAAGGGACAGAATTGAGAGGACCATAGTTTGAGGACTGAAGGTGATACACAAATGCTGTAGGCAAGACCATTAAAAGATACGAGCACAACAAGATTTACATGGTGAGATAATATAGTTTATTAAACTGCACAATTTAATTGGAGATATATAAGAAGATTTTGGCATGTCAGCCCTCATTCAAGTGATCTGAAAAAATTCTTGAGAAGGTAACCAGAATAATAGTCTGCCTGAGAGATTGTCTTCTTTTTTCAACCATGTCAATTAACCTAATAAAAGACTTCTTGTACAAATTTTGCTTTAATGTTTTGCAAAAGGAGACGGAACGATCTGCAGACAGAAAATGGGAGAATAACCCAGGAGCACTCCAGAGACAGCAGAAAGCAAGTCTTTATAATCCGAAACCCAGAAAAATGGGCAGTTTTTCCAGAAGTGTATGCTGTCCAGCAAAAGTCAGAGATCGTTAGCCTAGGCACAATGCTATCCCTTGGGCTACTGGGTGCTCTGTGATGAGACTTTTGTTTTCAGATGTAGTGCAGGACAGGAATTGTAGCTGAGGATTTATGTGTAGCTGAGAAAGGCAGTTACACAGACAACCAAATCCTGAAAATCCTTCACTAATGAAATTCTTTGCCACAGCACCTTACAAGTGCTGAACCCCACAGCAGTTTGAAAGTGTTTTCTTAGTAATTACACTTACAGGGCAAACTAACACAAGAAACCATGTAATCCTTCTAGGAAACATCAATTTCCTCTTCTCACCTCTCTTACTCCACTTTCACTCTTTTGTTCCAGGACCTGCCTCTTCAGAAGATTTTTGTGATTTTTTGGTCAGCCTACCCTGACTTGGTAGGCTTCATTCCTACAATGCCCTCCTGGGCAAGCAGAGACAGTTAATTCACAACTGAATAATGAGGGAAGTATCCCTTAGTTTCATACTTAACCAAGCTTTGTCACCTCATTTGTTACCTCTAGTCACCTCATTTTCTGCACTGATTAACAAGCAACCCTTCCCACAGCTTCTCCCCTCTCCAAATCAGCTGCTGACTGCTCATATCTTCCCCTTCTGTTAGAATAGCTTTTGAACTACTCAGAATTAGTTTGGGTTTCAGTGTGAGCCTTTGGCAAATTAGCTGCAGTCTGATGAAGGCAACATGGTTGTCTGGTCCCAATTAAGATCTCATGTCAAACTCTCCTGATGCTCTCCTTATCTAACATGCATAAGCTAATCACTGCCATTTTCCTCTTCCTGTTTTCCCCCTGGTGTTCTCTCTATATACTAATAATATCCTGTTTGCTATATTAGGAAACTTGCATTATTTAGAGTGTACCTTTCCTCTCCATGGATTGCTCTCCATGACAGAGATTTGTTGTTGGAACGTTCTCAATTCTGTCCTTGAATACTCTGCGGCCACAACACTACTGGTGAGCTACTGCAAACATCAGCTTTCTACTGCCAAATGGAAATTGCTGTCCACTGTCATATAAGAGAGATAATGAGTAATAGACAAGCAACAGAGACATTAATGGTTTGTTTTTCACCTCTTATGCAGATCCTCTGGTTTTAGCTATCTTGTTAAAACTGGTATTATCCTTAAAAATTAAATTTTTAATCTGTTTAGAACACTTTGTTCCTGGGAAAGCATGAATGAGGGGGATTAAATTATATCTGTACTATACTTTTCTTGGTGATTGGTAATTATATTGTCACTCATGATGCTATTCATTGCACTTAGCTGCATGGAACTGGGGAAAAACATGACATTTCCCCCTGTACTAGACATAATGAGAATCTATGGCTTTTCACAGAATCATACATCAGTGAGGTACGGGAGTAAACAAAACGTGGGAAAGTTGTATTTGGAACAAAGGGGTGTTTTTTTCCAAGCCATAGTATAAAATATTTGTATTTCCCTTGGGAAATATAAATGTGGAGGTAACAGGTGCAATGCCCAATTTAGGTGAACAGCACTTACTTTGTATCTGTTGCTTTTTCAGCCAACCTGTCACCCAGCAAAGCACCACTTTTTGAAAAAGACCTTTAGAAGAAGAGAGCAACCATTTTTCTTGTCTGGTTTTGGATGAATAATCTGAGGTATCTTTAAAAGGGCAGATTTAAAAAATGCATGCAAAGTAACCATTCTTTGGAAGTAATACACCTGTCAGCAGTCTTTGTACATCACCCCTGAGCACATGGACTTACACCCTTCTGCCTATCCAACTTCTTGAAACAGTAAGCACCTAACCTTGTAGTGGCTGGTAGGTGTGCCATTAGCATGAACACACTTCTTTTGGGCTCAGCTTCACTGAAACCATATGCATTTTCCTAATTATTGGACTGGATTGTGTAGAGCTTATTGAAAAGCCCTGATGCAAAAGATGCTGTCCAAATGCAGTAGTTTTATTAAAACAAAACCCAAAACAAACAAAAATGCATCTTTCTGGTAGAGTGACATATTGAAGAAACTGCATCATCAATATGTTCTGAGAAGTTTTAATAGGAAACTGCTGTGTTATTTCAGCAGTTCTAATTTCCACGAATCGTAAATTGACTTATTTTGCCGTAGAATTTGACAAATGAACATTTCAGTTAAATCTGGAGAGGATCATGTCAGTCCACAAAGACTCAGAGTAACTACTTACGTTCCCAATAGGCTTGCTTGCCTCCAAGTTCTTTGCCACCAAAGTGGTTCTACAAAACATTCTGGCCTCACTGAATTAGATGTCCTGCAATGGATGCTTAAGCAGGTATTTTCTAACGTATGTTCACAATCAGTATCACAGTGTACTCCAACATGAAGTGTAATCAAGCATGAAGTCTTGGCTTCCACTTTTAACAAAAGACAGTTGTCATAAACCACATTACTCTGCAGACTAGCTGTGCAGAGCTTTCAACAGCGATGTGTTTTTTGATACTACCTGGTACATATGAAATGCTTTTGGAGGTTATTTTCTCTTGTCAGGGTCACTGTGACTTATATTTTGAAAGAAAATATCATCCCCCTGGTAACAGTCTTTTTCCTTCCCTTTCACCACATGTTGGCAAGTAAAAACTCAGGAGACTTCTTGCTGTATTATGCAGGCATTGAACTTTGTTGTTTTAATCTTTTTCAACTGATGTAAAGTCAGTACACATGGGCCAAGAAGATCAACACAAGAAAGTACTTGTATTTTTAAGAATTCAAAAGGAGAGGAGCACAGAGAAAACTGAGACAACCCAGAACAGATGCTCCAAGAATTATCTTTTTTATCAGTTAAATGGTGTGAATTGCCATGGAAAATTCGAGAGGTATTCATAGCTGATACTCCAAGTGTTTTCTTCTTATATCAAAGAGGCTTGGTTTTTCAAAAGCAAGCAAAGTCATCATTTAATCTCCTTGCAGAAAACTGGGCACTGTTATGCTCCTCTGTACAGTTATAATTTGTCTAAAGCCTGCCGATGGCCAGGGCTGCCTTCCCTGATGTTAGAACTGGGCCTCAGTGGGACATTAAAGGACGAGCATTAGCACTTGAATCTACCACAATACTGCTTCACAAGATGATGCTTTCAAAACGCTTTGGGAAAAGAGTCAGCAGAGTTTTGAGGGTTAATTTACTTATTTAGTCTTTATTTTCACTATCCTAGTCTCAGACTGATCTGCAATGAAAGGGAGGCAGGGCTCCCTCCTTGCAGGCCATCACTCTAAGGGTGGCAGCTGCAGCACAAGGAAGTGTAAATGGGCATTGGGCATGGTGTGTCCCAGCTCCTCTCCACGCCACTTCATATATGGAGTCCTCTGCCACCTGACAAGCTGCCCACCACCAGAACATAGCAGCAGGCTAGTATGACTGATCATGTTGTGATAATATTGGCAGTAACAAACTTTAATCAACACATGGCACTGTATGCTATTAGAATCACAGTGTTATTACAGAACCAGTGAATTGCTCACTATCTTTAGGGAAGAGCAATGTAAAACATTATTATACTGGCTATGTTTAATGAAAGAGGAAACTGAACCCCACTATCTGCTTATAATCTGTATTTGTGTGCGACATAGAATATTCAAAATCACACCAACAAATCAACACTCTGCATCTGCACTGGTAACATTTAGAAGGGACGTAAGAACAAAAATTCTGTTAAGAAAGCAATGTTTATGTTCTTACACTGCAAAGTGGCCACGGTCAAACTGACACAGCAACCGTTTATAACAGCAGCAAGCCTTTACAGGGGTGTGAAGTTAATGGAAATGTTAAAACTTTTTTATCAGATTAATTTGTAAGTCAGTGCTTTCAGTCAAAAGGCTTGAAGTAGGCTGTGTACCAGGACAGTTAAGATGACAAGAGAGGACTTCCATGAAGGATCAGTGTATCCCTCAACAGCTGCCTGAGACTTCCAGTCTCCATTTCTCTTGTTATGCTTCCTTACATTTTCCTCTACACCAGCATGTTTTAAAGATTGTTATAAACGTATACCACTGCAGACAAACTCAGGAGTTTTAATGCTTTCTTGGTGTTGGATGTTTTGAATCAGGAGATACCCAAAACCTTTGTTTAGGTAGAAGGGTTCTGACACCTTTAATTACTTGTGGAATTGTTAGGGGTGCTGCCATGTATTGTAAAGATCAATGCAAGATTTCATTCAACCTCAGCTGCAATATTGCTGAGTTACCTCTTTCATGCTGCTGATCACCCTATTTCAACTGCAAGGTGTATATTCAGAGTGTGGGTGTGTTTTTTGGAATCATTTACTACTGAGGGATTGTGCTATCAAGCAGGATTTTCTCACAATAATTCAATATATATTTGCAGTCAGTAAGACTTCATGATTCAAAATGCCTGACCCTATAGAAGTATAGAAATCCTCATTTATTGTGCCAAGACATCTTTTTCATACACTTCAAATTTGTACCGGATGCCATTCTCTTCTTGGATATCAGCAGGGACACCTGGGTACCTGGGGAGAGGGAAGAAGAAAAAGCAAAAGCCAACAAGTAGATAAAAATATCATTATGAGTCACCTGTAATTTATCCAATCAATTAGAGAGTTGTTTGAAAAAGGAGATGAAAATACCATCCTTACAACAGGTATACTAAGTACAAACTATTTTTAGGAATCATGTTAACTACTATCAGCAACTTGTGTGCTCATCTTTTTAAATCAAGAAAGCATACTCTGATGAAAAAAAAAGAAAAACCACCTTTTTGGCTTAATAAAAAAAACCTTACTTTTTTATTCAAGCCTCCAACATGTTATTTAAAATGTCTGCAAAGGTAGAAGACATACAGAACACCTTTGGGTTTTTTAACTTTGCTTTTTCTCACATGATTTAGAGGAAATGCTAAGGTAAAGGTTTCCTACAAGCCTACAACAGCTTCTTAAAGTAGCTGATTGCCACCACGCAAAGTGTTGCTCTTTGTTCCAGATTTACTAAAACTGTTTTTATTAATGGACACTTAAAAAAATCTGTTCAGCTCCCTGTGACAGAATAAGGATTTTGTATGAGTAATGTTGACTTTGAGGGAGAAAGAAATTTTAAATTTTATTCACTAGGTTTGACTCTATTAGGTTTCCACTTTAGTGATAGAATCATATGCAATTTTGTAAAATCATGTTTTAAGGCCAAATTCTGATTTCAGTACAGTGGCCAAAACCAATGTGTACCTGAGAAACAGGCAAGAGGGAGAGAGGGGGAACTCTGAGTCAGACATCAGGGTACTAATGTGGGCTCATGACATGGCACAGCATGGTTCAGTACATGCTAGAGCTGAAAAAGGCAATTCATCCTCCCCACTCACCCTGCTTGTCTCTCCCACATCCTTCTTCCCTGCCTCTACTTACTCTCCCCACTTCAGTGCTAATCCATTCCTGTGCCCCATACAGAGAGTTTGACTTGCCATAATTTCTAATTCTTCCACTGCTGGTCTGTAACCAGCTAGAAACCTAAACGAGAGTAGCAAGAAGAGGAAGAGGTCCTTTCCTTGCTGGTTCCTGAGGCAGACATTTGAGTTTTTGCCACCTCCCTACTGCCTGCTGGATGTAATCTCATTGCAGTGGACATAAAAGTATGACTGGAATATGACAAGGGTAACATATAAGAAACCACTGTGAATGGCAGAAACTTATAGTTCAATACTTGTTCCTACTAAGTCTGTCAGGAAGAAGTAGTTTTCTCAAGAGAAAGGAATAAACTTAGAAATCTATAAAGGCTCAACCCTCCCTGCTCAAACCCATTTAATTTGTGTTTGGCAATTTATCAGAGACATTCAGAGGCTAAATACCATTGACTAACAACATACTGAGAGTTACAGAGCTTAGTAAATATTTGAGTAATTAAAAAAAGAGAAACAGTAAGAAAGTTACTTTTCAAGAAAACCAACAAATGCAATTCTTTACTGTAAAGATTATGGAAAGGTTGAAGAACACAAGTTCCAACAATCTCTCTGTACTGAGGGCAGTGCAATTCCAGGTTCCAAGTAAATTATGACTCAGGAGAAATACAGTGAAAAACACCTCTAACTCTAAACAGAACGTGGCTTTAATAGGACACTTACACATTCACAGTAGATTATTAAGTCTTCCATCTGAAGACAAAACTAGTATGCATCTTCATACTTACTCTGTGAGTAGTTTGTAGTCTTTGTAGTCAATTTCTGGAAAAAATGTGTCACTTTCAAATTCCTGCAAAATTCTTGTCACAAACAATCGATGATTCATTGGCTTCTCCATTGCTGCCTTTAAAAACAATAGAAACTATTAAAATTGAGTTGTTTCCTGTAAAACAGCTCAACCATGCATGAAGTAGTGCTGTTTATTAATATTTTTTGTATTCTTGTTTTATAACACTATTTGAAGTCTGTAAGATAACATCAAGTGTAAGTTCTTATTTGGAGCTTTCTTCATCAGCTCTCCAAATTCTTGTTATGCCTGCACCAGCCATCACCATGGCAGCATTCCAAAAGAACCAAGAGATAAGAGTCTTATTTCTTACTTGTACATCGCACACTAAATATGTTATCTAAAACTGAAACTCAGTTGCCAATTTATATATTACATAATTTAAACAAAGCAGTGAAAATGGAAGTCTAGATCTCCTCTTTTGGACTCTGCCCAAGAGTACTTTCTAAAGGGATAATTTAATCTTGTGCCAGTTCCCCCTGTTAAGTGGCAGCAATACCTACTCTCAGATCTTGGGGCATCTGACAGAAATTAACTAAAAATTGAGTAGTCCTGTGAGAAAAAGGGAGCAGTATGGCCTAGTCTCAACAAGCAATTTCTGAATCATACCTCACTGAAAGACAGGAATCTTTAAGTGGTGGAGGCGGCCCACACCTCAAGGTAATTTGTTCAATGTTTAATTATTATCACTGCTAAGGATTTATACTGTATTTTTAGTCTGCATTAGTTTAAATTTTGTGATCGCTGCCAGTTTAACTTCAAAGGTTGATCTCTGGATTATGCCAAAGTGATAATAGGCATCAAAAGTTATATAACAACAACAAGTTATGAAAAAAGTTATGAAGATACCTGTTAGGTGAGCACCTCACTAGCAAATTCACATGAACTCAGGAGTTAAAAAAACATGGTTTGTCTCCAGATCAGACCAAAAAGTCACCTCTTCCAGACTTTCCTGGCATTAAAATAACCCATTAAAAGCTATACTGGTGCCTGGTTACAATATATTTTTGAAAAGCTTACAGCTGTTTCTCTCTTTCCCTTAAATTGGCAATGAGCAATGCTCTTTGTTAAAGGTGATTCACCATGCAGCATGCTATTAGGTACTACTCTGACAAGTACAGGAACCAAGTAATAGCAAATGTAATCCAATAAAATTAATTAGTATCGCTGCTGAGAAGTTAGTTTTTAGAAAAGTTGCTCTATTACTACAGAATGGCTTGAAATGGAAGGGGTAGGTCACAGCACAACAACATCCAACAGCACCGAGCTGATGTTCATCCAGTTTGCATATAAATACCACACTTTTTCTCTCTTTAAATAAGGGTGGGATATAAGAGGAGAAACATACCTGCAGAATGACAGAAGAAGAATAGTCTGCTTCACAAATAAAAACATACTGTGATCTGTAAACTGATACTTTCGTTTTGTAGTAGAATAAAACACTGACTTCCTATACAGCTCTATGAAATTTACCTTCAGCAAGAACTCTGTACTGCCAAGACAGGTCAGGGAAGAGCATATGGAGTGACTGACCACAAATACTGCAAAATAGCTGAACTTAGCCTGAAGGGGACCAGAGGGTGACCTCTGTTCTAGATAAATGGTTGCATTAGTTGAGTGAACCAACCAGCCGTGTAACTGTTTGTCACCAAGTTAGAAAAAAAAGTTTAAGCGCTTGCTGAGTTAGCCAGACCAGCTCTGGAACCTAACTGTGTACGTGGCCCGTGAATACTAAACAACAAAAAGAACTTGGAGAAGAGCAACAGGCTTGAGCTGGTTTCAAACCACATACTCCTTTCCAGCAGCTGCAAACGCCCAGCATCATGACAGTGAGACTATTACAGAGATGGGCAAGGAGAAATACATTTGTAGAGTGGTTTGACTTTATATTTTGGTTGCTCTACTCTGCTAAGTGTAATTTTCACTTCCCCTCACTCCACTGCCATGCTGGGTCTCAAAGTCTTTCTTGGTATGATTTTAGTTTACTCTACCCAGATATCCTTGGACTGTATTTGTACCCGCACTGGTTTCTGTTGGGAGCTGCATATGTGTTTGCTCTCCACACAAGCTCACCTCCCTGTGTAGCAGCTACTGAACCTTTTAAGATATTACAGCCTCATGCAACAGTGAAAAGCAGTGCTGATTTTTGGCTCACACTCCTCAAGCAGAGATGACTTTCCACAGTAGAGGGAGGACAGGAGAGCTGAGGTGTCAGATACATCCAAATGGAGTTCAGTATGTGAACCCGAGTCCTTTATTACTCACGTATATCTTCACAACTCTGTGAAAAGATTTTAGCATACCCTCACCTTTCTGCTCACTTCCAAGAAATCCTTGGTAGGCCTGCCTCTAAAGCATACAGCAAAAATGAGACGACCTAAGGATCATCCTTCCCATAATTTCCAGCTGCATTGGACTGACAGCCATACAAAATTAGATTATGTCTGCACGTGCAAGACCATTACCTTTAATTAGTTTCTCTTTGTACAACACAGGTTAAAACAGCCCTGAAGCTCTGCAACAAAGAATGGCTGTGTATTACAAGTAGTTTCAGACATATACGGAAAATTAATCTTTCACAGATCAAATCACCAAACCACTGTAAACTAGTGGGCATAGCAACCAATTGCTGTAGAAGGGACCAATTATTTCTAGACAGTTAAAGATTCACAGGTTTTAGGACACACACACACTCCTACTTTCTCATCTTCTACTGATCACATAAAATAAGTAAAAAAAGTAACTAAAGCTAAAGTAACTATGTGAGGTACTTGTTTTTCAAGTGTGTTTCTAGACAACATTGACAATACAAACAAAATATGAGAACACTATAATAGAAAAAATCTCAAAATAAAGTCTGTTTATTTGCATTGGTTTTCAACCCTTAAAGGGTACTGGACCATATAGGCAAGCTGCATTTTGAAACTGCAAGAGTATTAAAAAATGTATTTTATACATTAAAAAAATCTCACAGCTGAAGATCTCACAAAGTTCTAGATCTTACCTAACTAAAAGTACTTGCCTAAGTTAAACTTTGGCTATTAGGACAGTTGTGGTGACAATCAGGAGATTCAACACCTTCAAAAACCTTACCTTCCCACACTGCTAGGGCTCAGCTTAGTGAGGTAGGCAATAGCCCTTCCTTCCCAAGCCACGAAGGCTAAGCCTAGGGAGGAAGTAGACACTGTGGTAGCTCTCACCACCAGTTCTCTGCCAGGGACAAAGGCAAGTGCAATAAAATTCTTCTACGACCGTTATCAAAAAGCCTGACCATTCTGTCCTTGCAGAAACAAATACACTTTAGTCACTACACATTTCTGTGTGTTAGTCTTAAAGGAGGGTCTTTTAAATCTTTTCCTCTATGATCTCTGCAAGCATGTTTGAAAAAGAACTTACAAAGCAACAACCTTTCACAGCTGCATGATTTGTGGCTGTAACTGACTCATATATTAACCTTTTTTAGTAATTATTTTTTCCCAGAGGAATGTCAAATCAATATGTTTGTTCACAAAAATGAGTACACAAAAAGCTTGTTTAGGAATAAAAGCACTATCACACCTTTCTTTCCATGTTAAAAATCCTCTGAGTTTATTTTGAAGACTATACTGGAAAGACTGGATATGGCATTCTGAAGTCTGTGAAAGTAACAAGATGCTAAATTACAGAAAATTCTTAAACTTTTGAAAGAAATTATTAGTTAATCCACTAGACCATTGACAATATTGTAATTCTGTTTCCTCTAATTTTACTTATAACTAGGTAAGAGCAAGAAGTATTGGCCACTGGAGGCATGACTACAATAGTCATGGATGTATTTTTACAAAATATAAATCTTTATGGGAGGACAGTGCTGTCAGCTGTAATGTTGTGATCCTGACACTTTTATATAAAAGAGATATTAGGGAATTGAACTAAGAATGCTTAAACCCTTTATCAAAAAACACCTAGAAAGTTAAAGGAATACAATAAAATTGTCTTTCCATTCACATCATTTTGTTCAGACAACTACACAAAGCTACATAACTACACATGGGAAAATTCTCCTGTAAAGAAAGATTCTGTGACATTACAGTAATGAAGACAGTTACATTTACATATACACCAGGAAGACAGTAATATTCCTTGCAAACAACTGCTTAGGACCATAAATGTGCATAATCGAATAACATTATCATGAGCTTGGTGGAACAGGGAAAGAACATATGGTCAGTGCAACCACAAGCTTCAGTCTACACTTTAAACTTTAAAGGCAACGTTACCAGCTTTCAAAAACGTTAGTAGGATTAAGCCACAGTAACTAGTTCACTCTAAAACGGAACTAGTGGAGAAGCCAATGCAGTGCTCAGCTTTTTGCACTGATTGCTCCCAGAACAGAACAATGCTTTTGGCCTGTAGTTTGACATCCTCCACATCAACAGCATCTCACAGGTCAGAGGAGCTTGCTCTCTGCAGCATGCCCTTTGAGAGCACTGTTCGAAGGGAGCCACAGCACTGCAACCTGCAAGAGTGGAGCGCGTGTGCATGGAAAAATGAGCTCTCTGTGTAGCTCCCTTGTAAGTGGATCTCAGTCCTTGGTCACATCTCAGGCTGAATGCAACACTTCAAAAACATGGTAACATACGTATTAGTCTATTACAACAGGTACACAGCTCAAACCCACTTTGTCTTATATGCAGGCAAAGTAGAAAAATTACTATTATATCTTTTATAGTTTAAAAGAATTCAGACATACTAAAAAGTAATCTTTAAAATGTATGTTTTAGTATATTAGTAGTAGCTAGCAAAGTTTTGGCAAGCTTGAAAAAAATCATGATAAAACTAGTGACTCAAACTGCTGATACTTCTCTCTTTTAAAGTGATCCTTATGGTACAGCAAAGATTTGAAGCTTAGCAAATGTGGCATTCACAACCCACTCAGGGCATTCAGAACCCAGTGAAGCTTATGTGCTTAGTCAACAAACTTTATTTAAGAGGGTAATTAATCTTCTGCAAGAGACTTGCTGCACTAAAATGAATAGCAACTTCATAATTCAATAATTCTGAAGAATGAAAGAAGGTAGATTACCAAACACAGTATGTCAAATACTAATACATAGGAAGACACCTGAGCATGAATATTAGACAAGATTTTCCCTTTGAGATTATTGGAAATTTAATTTTCCAGCTCAAGCCTCTTTGTTGAAGAATTTCCCCAAATGCTATTTATGACCAGCATCTATTTTCTGTTATGGCCAGCCTAGATTTTAACTGAATAGCAAAACCAACAAAACTTCTTATGAAAGAACTTTTTGTTCTGTTACAAAATTACAAGTTTCTTCTCCAAATTTAATACACAAATACAATTCTGTACTTCAGCAATGTGACCTTGAGTGTCATTGTTTTCTCTGTAGCACTGAGAAAGCAACAAGCTGAGTAGGAACACACAAATTAGAAGAGACAATTTTAAACGTTCGAGATATGGTAGGAAAAACTGTTTTATCAAGGTGAAAACCTGTTTGACATATAGCCTGTTTTGGTGTTACTAAAGAGGCCTTGGTTTTGAGGACCTGAGTCATAAATTTTTCAATTCTTCTATTTTCTTAAAAAAAAAAAAAAAAAAAGTTTTGTTGCTAGTTTTATTCCCCTCCCCCCACAATGGTAGGTTCATTGCTAGTGATTTGTGCTTGGTTATTTTTACAAGGCAAGATTTATATTAAATGCCCTACAAACAACGTATCATAAGACCATACCATCCACATAGGTAAATCTAAACCTTTTTTTTTTTTTTTTTTTTGTTTTAAATTTTTTTAAAAGTCCCTGCTTAATATTTGGGGATGTGCTGGACTTAAAGTTCCTATTCCTAGTAAAATCCCAATGCTGTTTTTAATCAGTTTAAAACACAGAGTTTAAATACAGTTAAAAGAGACTGAAATAATTTACACTGAGCAGAATCCCTTAGGATCTCCAGGTAGTGCTATTTTTCAGAGTCAAAGCCAAGACCTGAATCTCTCAATTAAGAGACAATACCTCCACACACAGTGCATCTACATTAGTGTCTTAATTCAGAACAGAAACGTGGTTTTGAAATGTATCTTCCAATTGTCCCCACTCACCATGCTTTAGTTGTACTGGGGAGTAATACTGGTGTACATGAAAAAAAATTTCTTGCGGATTAAACCAAGACAGAAAATCTGCTCCAGGAACGTGTCTGATAAGTTCTAACCACTAACAGGGACTCAAGGGACAGAACCAGTGAGTGAGTCACCACCACAAGTTTTCCAGCACACAATGAGCATTCATGAGCCAGCAGACAGCTCTCAAAACATCAAGTGGTCACGCAAAATTATGGAGTGCCTCTCATGACACATAATGGCTTTGTAATTGCTTTGACCTACTAGCCATTGCTAGGCTGCTACATTTCTTCTTCCTCATCCATACACCAATTCATTCTGGAAATCAGGAGATCCAGAATAGTCCAGAAGATCCAGTCTGGCCTCAAACTGGGATCCAAAGAAATCAGAGAGTCTTAGAATGATTAGGTTTGGGTTGGAAGGGACCTAGTCCCACCCCCCTGCCCCAGGCAGGGCTCCCTTCCCCCAGCCCAGGGTGCTCCCAGCCCCGTCCAACCTGGCCTTGAACCCTTCCAGGGAGGGGGCAGCCACAGCTGCTCTGGGCACCCTGGGCCGGTGCCTTACCAGCCCCACAGAAAAGAATTTCTTCCTTCTATCTCATCTACATCTGCCCTCTTTTGGTTTAAACCCATCCCCCCTCGTCCCATCCCCACACCCCCTGACCCAGAGTCCCCCCCCCCCTCTCCTGCCCCCCCTTTAAGCCCTGGGAGGCCACTCTCAGGGTCCCCCCGGAGCCTTCTCTTCTCCAGGCTGACCCCCCCCAACTCTCTCAGCCCGGCCCCCCAGGGGAGCTGCTCCAGCCCCCCCAGCATCTCCGTGGCCTCCTCTGGCCCCGCTCGAGCAGCTCCGGGTCCTTCTGCTGTTGGGGGCCCCCGAGCTGGCCCCAGCACTGCAGGGGGGTCTCCCCAGAGCGGAGCAGAGGGGGAGAATCCCCTCCCTGGCCCTGCTGCCCCCCCTGCTCTGGCTGCAGCCCAGGGCATGGGTGGGTTCTGGGCTGCAAGTGCACATTGCTGAGCCATGTTGTGCTTCTCATTAACCAACATCCCCCAGTTCTTCTCCTCAGGGCTGTTCTCAATCCATTCTCCACCCAGCCTGGATTTGCACTTGCAAACCTGTGCTGTGAGAAAGTCCAAAAGCTTCCCTGGAGGCAACAGTACTACCTTGTGGCTATGTCAGATTACAAATCTGATGAGGTGACCCATGTCAAGTCAGATTTGTGTCCTCAATGGCAAAGCTGTTATAGTAGCTCTTGACAGATGGCCTCAGTTGTCCACATTCAATACATTCTGTATTTACTTCCAACTCCCCAGGATCCCCGTACCACTGGGATGCCACCAGCCCAGGCTCAACCCCTGTGCCAAGAGCTGCAGATCAATCAGGGTAGAGCACCTACAGTGAAGACTCCAAGAATGCTGTTATCCCCCATCTTCACACTGATCCTTCAAGACATCCACAACAGCCCATGACAGGCTGTCAAATCAGCCTGCTTGAAGTAAGTGCAACAGGTGCTCATGTGAGCTTGCCATTCCCCTTTCCTAGTGATCCTGACTGAAAGATCATTGTACATTAAGGTGTTAGTGACCCACTTAACAATTAATCTGAATAGACCCAGGCCTGTACTGTGCTGTGCATATTTCTTGGCCACAGGATAAGTTCAGTGAGCGAACTGTAACAGAGGAGCCTGCAGGCAGGCAGCTCCCACTTGGTACAGATGACTATACCACATGCATGCCCTTGCCTTTATCTAAAAAAGCAGCAGGAAGTTTTCATGTGAACATCCTTTCTGTTTGACAGTGGAAATTACGAATAGACATGTTTTACTGTAAGAAAGTCCTATAGTAGCTTTCATGACCAAAATAGGATAGTGCTTTCTACAGATGGGGCCTGTGCAGCATGCTGCATGTGGCTTGGAGGCTTGTTCAATGCCACACAACTTGGGAGTTCTCAACATCTACAGGGATGTAAGATAACTTATACTATTCTGTCCTTCTTTGACGTGTTAGCTCTAATAAGTAGCATATTAAATGACACTTTACAGAGTCCAGGTGCTCTTTTTACTGGGATAATGGACTAGATTGTACTGGTGCAAAACAGCTTTTTACTGCACTGTTGTGTGGCTACGCTCAGCCCTAATGTGCTACCAGGAGCATGATGACATCTTCATCACACACCTAAAGTCCAAGTGCCAAACAAGAATTGGAGTATATTCCCCACTATACTTGCAATGACTAAAGGTCAGCGGGACTGTTTCTTTCACTATAAAAAAAAAATTCTTTACAATTCTTAATTAAGGTCTTTTTTATCAGAAGAAGGAACGATTACTGCTGTTCTTATTTCATATTCTCCTGAATGATATGAAAGAAACCAGGGTTAGTGGCCATAATCTTTTGTGTGGTACTGTTTGACAATAAATACAAATTATATGAGAACTTAAAAAAGAAGACAAAAACAACTGAGATGTACAGGCCAGAACCCTGACTGTAGGGGCTGAAAGAACAACTCTAGGGATGTGGGTGGATGCATGGAGAGTTGACTAAACTTTACACGTGTATAAATGAAAAATGAGAGAAAGAGTTTGGGGCAAGGGAGAAAGATGGCTAAGGAAACATAGGGAAACAAGCTACATTTTACTCCAGACCTGCACACTGCACAGCTAGTATTTTAGTTAAGGACAGGAAGAATATTCCCCACTTGTGGGAAAACAGGACAGTTTATACAGGGCTCTGTCTGTGCAAAGGTGGTCCTGAGAAGAAAGTAGCACATGCTGTCTTCTTGGCACATTAACAGGCACCTGAATACCAAGACACTGTAGACACCAAGAGAAACCCCGGGAGTGGGAACAGTAGGGATATCTGGTTGCTAGATGGGAAAACAGAATGAGTGCTACCTTGTTGTATGATTATCTCCCCTTATTGCTGACACCAACACTTGCCAGCTCTCTCTAAATCCTCTTTTGCTACGTGTATACCTGTATAAAGTGTCATATTCTGGCTAAAAATGCTAGATCATTTTTCTTCTTTTTCCACATCCTCTGCAGAGGCAGTCTACTACCTCAGTAAAATGAACATAACAATATGGGTTTAGGTTGAAAAACCTAGCAATTTAGATATTTAAGAGAAGCCCTCAAAAGCACAATGACTGTATGATACTGGACTGGACCATTAGCAAGAGCAACTTTTGGTTACTTGGACAGGTATTTTAAACCTGTGAATTGAAATCTTACTCTCCAAGACTTGTTCTGCTGGAATCACTGGAGTTTGCTGGGTCACATGAAGAAAACAGCACTTCCTAATGTGGAAGTAGTAGGAACTAGAGCCACCCTCATCGCATCTCAGAAGATGAATTATTTAGGAGTACTTTAAATGTACCTTGTAAACAGATGTACCTCCAACGATCCAAACCATGTCTACTTTACTTTTTAACTCTGGTGAATCCAAAAGAGCTAAAGCATCATCCAGACTTCTGGAAAGATAATGCGCTCCTTGTGGGGTTTCCCTAGAAAAAGCAAAGTTTTATTACTAAATAGTTAAAGGACCATTCTTCATTATAATCAACACAATCTAGACATACAATGTGTTTCGCTGAATTGACAAATAACAAAATGTTTCACATTAATTAATTATTTTGATATGCCTATTTTTGCTAAACTATGTTAGAATTCTCATCTGACTACAGGACTGTTTAACAAATCATGGTTTAATCATAACTGTGACTTAAAAGACATTATAAATTACAGATCCGAAATTTTATATAATGTTTTTTAAAAAGCATAGCTTGATAAATTTAGATACCTATAAAATGAAACATAAACTTTTACTGAAATTCTAGAACACTAACATTTAATTCAATAAAACTGGTCAAGAAGCCCTATCTCCTGCCCCCTCACATACTCAGACTAAAAGCCACCACCATCTTCCAAAGCAATAAACCACTATAAGTGGACATTTTTGTTTAAGAATATTTGGATGACTGTGGGTGATACACTCAAGGAGAGAGTTGTGAAAAAAGGATAGTTATTTTTCCTTAAATGCTAATAAACTTCAAAAAAGGGATTAGGAGTCACCAATCTAATCAGGAACTAGAGAAATACAGTTGAACACATGAGTCAGAAAGACTTCTGACAACTGTCAGATGGTTTGTGTGTAGAGCTAGGAGTAGCATTTATTATGCAAAGTAATGACAATGTGAATTAATTAAGAACTAAAAGAAATAAAAATAATAATTAAAAAATTAAAGGTAAAGTAGTGATATCACTCAGAACCAATAGCAGAGACGTTTCCTAACTAGATATCAAAAATGTAACATTTAGAACTACTTTATGTTGTATTGTTATACATATTTTTAGGTGCAGACTTTTTATTTGTTTTACAGGACTACTATTCATCATACATACTTGAGCTCCCTGCTGAGCACTATATTAATTCTGTCTTTTAGAGGACGATTCTTCTCAGGAATGGAGAACCAGGTTTTTTTACCCATTATCAGTGCATTCTGTTTACCTGAGTAAGAGAGAAAATGCTTATTTAAAGGGAAGTTTTGCTCTGTCCCACGTTTGCTTCACTGTTTAGTGACACTGCTGGACTTTCCCTCCCCCTTCTGCACTCCATTTCAGCAGTTAACAAAAGTACAAGCTTAGGTCCCAATTCTCAAATTAGTCACACACATAGAAGAATATGTTTGTGGCCTCAAAGCCCTGTCAGGCAGTTGACACCAAAGTAGTCTTATGTGCACCTATAAAGTTATAACTGAAAGAAGGTAATAAAAGACATGTCACTGCCCACTATATGCACTACACAGACATTGGCTCTGCTACAGTTCTGCAGCCAAATTAATCTCTGTGTGTGAGGCCAACTCACACTCTCAAAAGAGTCCTCTTAGCGTGAAAAAACATCATTCTTCTCTGTATAAATCCAAGCAGTACACAGTAATCAACTTCATGGTTGCATGTTCCATCATTCCAGTTATACAGTCAGGAATAATTGCCAGCTTTGAGCGTTATTTAAGAAAACAAAACAAAACAAACAGGTAAATGGAAAACTTTTAGAAGAACCAGCCAAATTAAATCCAAAGCAGAAGTGTAACAGGTGTTCTGTCATATTCTAGATAAATATAATTTCTGACCAAACCCAAATATTCATAACCTGATTATCTCTCATATATATCCTGCTAAGAATAGTTTTTGTTTATGAGCAAATGGAGTTGTCAAGAGAAATAAACACAGAGGTTGACACTCACAAAAAGTAACAGAAGTTTTTTACAGTGCTACACAGCAGGAAAGATTTTAGAGAAAATAAAATAGTATTTGTTCACAGCTCTATCCTTCCTGCTTCTTGATCTGAGAGGCTAGATCTACTGGACCACACTAGAGAACCAATGCTCCAATTTATTAGCAGTGTGTAAAGACCTTTCTCCTGTAGACAAGTTTCATGAGCAAGTTTCCAAGAGACATACTGCAGTGGCGGTTTAGATAAGTTAGCACAGACCATTGGCACCACTGCTGAAAGAAATGCACACGTTCTGAAAAATATATGTATTTTCTTAATAAAGGTTTACACTGGGATTCCTACAGGGTCAGAACAAAGATTTGTCTAGACTAACAGCTAATTTACAGCAGTGGCCAGTGCACGTATGGAATCAGACTAAAAGTAAGATCAGGTGGTGTTTCTCCATTGTATTCTCACTTTCAAAAATCAGTGACTCCAACTTTTTTGAGCCAATGGTGATATCCCTGCTGTGAAGATTTATGGCAACATAGTGGATTAAGATGTCTGGTTATGAAGGAACTTAACTGCCTAGCATCTAAGGTCATAGCTTATGAGAAGATTTGCAGACAGGATGGAGCCAAATTTTTCTTTTGTATTTAAAACATCCTTTTTTGATCATGAGTTATTTGTGCCAGGTAAGATGCAACTTGCAGACACATAGAAAGACTTACAAATGTGTTCTGTCTTTTTTTGTACGTAAAGTTGCAGTGGACTGAATCAGGTCTCCAAAACATTAAGTGAAATCGTTCACTTAAAACTAATGCAAAATGAGATTAGACGTTCTTTGTGGAATATGGAACAGACTTTCAAATCAGAATATGGAATAGCTCACTTAATCAAAACAAGAGCACATATTAGGCAGTCCAGAAGTTTTAGCAAGCAAGTGAGTTTTGCTGGACAGTAGTTTTAACAGTAGCATATAAAAAAAAAAAAAAAAAACAAAAAACAAACAGGAAAGTGATGATGTTGGCAAAGAGTGAAGCAGCAGAAACGTGAGGATAAATTTGTTGTGTCTCATGGCTCTGATTCTACCAGACACAGTGCCAGTTGCATGGCTCTGGGAGGTCCTGTTCCTCCTCTCTCAATGCCTCCTTCCTGGTCCTACCACACACCTTGTACTGGCAGTCCCTGCAGACACCTAGTAGACTAATCTACTGGGTTAGAGAATTAATACAGTTTAGGAAACATCAAACCAGCATTAAAGTCAGTGTGAGTGAGGAATGGGGGCAATTTGGCAAAACTTGTCTCTTCTGGCAGCAGCAAGTACCCAGTCAGAACAAATCAGCTCTTTTAATCTTTTGCATTCCTATCCCTGTTTGTTTGTGCTGATTGTCACAATTTTTTTCACTCCACAATAACTGATTTTATCTCATTGAATCAACAGTCTATATTTTACTTTGCTGCAAAAGTGTTGCTGTGCCTGAACATTATTGCTGCATATTACCAGTACAGGTGCATAACAATGCATATTGATACTACATAAAGTTGCAGTATTGTTGCTGTATATTACCAGTACGGGTAGGGTTTTCTGGTGTATTAGCATATCTCAACACTCAGAAAATCAACCAAAACTACTGTCACAAGGGTCAGAGGGGTGGAGTAAATGGCCAAGGCTGAGCTACAGCAAACAAGTTAGCTAAGCTAACAAAGCCTGAGAAAAACCTCTGCTAATTAATAAACATATAAAAACCTTTCAATTTTTAACTTGTTCAGGGATGGAATTGTAGGTAAAGCCAGGTAGGTGAAGTTTTCTACCTTACCTGGGAAACATGACTTTGAAATTCTATTTACAAATTACCTGCAGCCCTGAAACATTTGATTCATCTCCAGTTTCTTCATTTAATTGTGATAAATAATAGAAGAATTTTGCTTTTGCTAAAAGTAATTAAACAATTACTTTTATTGAATTAGGCTGAAGCTGTTATTAGTACAATGATACAAATTTTAAGAAAAGTAAAATAATTTACTAGTGGGAAAAGAGAAGAGAAGGGGGATTGATCAGAGGAAACACCAACCCAACAGCCCCCCCTTTTTCCTTTGGAATGCTCACCAGATGGTCCATATCAAAGGATGGTAACTCCTTTGCAATGGAATGGGAAAGAACATGATGGGCCCTCTCTGTTATCTCCTGTTCTTGAGATAAGAGAGGAACTGGAGCCGCTGAGCCATAAAGACAAAAGAGCTACAAATTAGCCCAGACTTGAAGGACAAGGTGTACGTGACCACAGGACTGAGTTTGCGCATAAATAAGGGTCAACGAGCGAACACGGTGAAGAAGACTACGAGCCTTCATCTGAAGACCCCTGCCCACGACCACCAGGGAGCACTGCGCAAGCGCGACGGGAGGAATTTGGGTTGGGGGGATATGTTAATGATTTCTCGGAACTAATTGTAATATTCCCTCCCTATCCTTAGAAGTAGTGATGCATATGTATTAGAGTAGATGAATATGTAACCATTTATACAATAAAAGGGAGCCCCTTTTGGCTCCAGGGCGCGCCATTGCGCCCAGCGCTGTATTCTTTGCTCCACTGACTTTGTCCCCAATAAAACTTTTTTTTTTATATATACGTGGGCTTGTTTCTCACAATTGGGGGCTCGTCCGGGAGGACAGAAGCCTCACCGCCATGGAGCCAGAGGGCCCTGAACGGAAGGCGCGCCCCGCTGAGTTCAGCGGTCTCTTCGGTTCCCTCCGGCGCCATCGGAGGTTGACGGTGACGATCCCGGCGGGGGACTCGTGGACCAAAGAGGGGGTTAGGGCTCCCTGGAGACCGCGGCAGCCATTAAACCTTGTGCACAAGATCCGGGCAACGAAAAGGGGACTGTAAGTAGTGTCCGGATGGCGGGATAGGGGGAGGACTGAAAGGTGTGTGTGTGAGACGCGAGGCGCCAGGTCGCACTTGCGAAGCGATTGTGGAGTCTTTCTAACCGCGGTTCCGTGCTCCCGCGAGGGGGACGGCCGGTGAAGAGACGAAGCGAGTGAAAATGAGTGAACGGCTCCCCCGGGAAAGGGGAAACAAGATACTTCAGTTAGTCTGGTTGAGTGAACAAGAAACTGGGAGCTAGGCAGTTGAGTTTCCCGGTATTGGGAAACAAAATACTCCAGTTAGTCTGGTTGAGTGAACAAGAAACTGGGAGCTAGATAGTTGAGTTCCCCGGGATTGGGAAACAAGATACTCCAGTTAGTCTGGTTGAGTGAACAAGAAACTAGGAGCTAGGCAGTTGAGTTTCCCCGGGATTGGGAAACAAGATACTCCAGTTAGTCTGGTTGAGTGAACAAGAAACTGGGAGCTAGGCAGTTGAGTTCCCCGGGATTGGGAAACAAGATACTCCAGTTAGTCTGGTTGAGTGAACAAGAAACTAGGAGCTAGATAGTTGAGTTCCCCGGGATTGGGAAACAAGATACTTCAGTTAGTCTAGTTGAGTGAACAAGAAACTAGGAGCTAGGCAGTTGAGTTTCCAGGGTAATAGGGAGCCAAAGATTGCCATTTCCCATACAGTCCATTAGGGAAAGGCTGGGAAAAAAAAAAAAAAATAATAATAAAATATATATATATATATTTATATATATATATATATATATATGTGTGTGTGTGTATATATATATAAATTGGGATTATAGCCCATGTACCAGAGGGAAGAGTAAGATCAAGATGGCAAATTATTGTATGTTCGAATGGACTAAAGGACCTATCAGGGAAGATTCGGTGAATTGGCCAAAATATGGATCAGAAGAGGATTGGATTTGTCAAGCTCTTAATATTTATGTTAATTCAAAGGAACCATTTAATCAAGAAGAAAGTGAATATGCCTCATGTTGGAGGGGGTCGCAGAGATTTGGGATTTTTTTAATTGAAGCAGGAGGAGCAGGTTGAAGAAGGTGAAAGGGAAAGGAAGGAAAAGAGATGGGACCCTTTGGATAATTTACCCCCCCCCATATAACCCGGCACACCTAGGAAATCAAGGGGTGCAGCAGGAAGATGCGGGTGAGGAGGCCCCTGTTGTTAATATCAGACCTGAAACCGGGCAGCAACGAAGGGGGGGGGAAATCGTTTAAGGGAGCACGGGGCGGCTAGGGTTAATCCCTTGCGGGGAAGTCCCAGCGGCAGGAATTCAAGGGGGGATGGGATTTGTGGATGTGCCGCTCACTAATGTAGAAGTGAGGGCGTATAAGAATGAATTTAGGAGGTTTTTAGAGGACCCTGTGGGGCTGTCAGAGAAGATTGATCAATTTT